TTTATAAGTGAAAAATGGTTGTAAAACCCCGTGATGACAAACCTTCACTGTGCAGGCAAACAAAGGCAGAACTGAGAGCTTGTAAGTAAAAGTTTGGGGAAACCTAACTCCAACTTTTAAGACATTAAGATGAGCTTTCTTAATTGACTTCTGAATGCAAAGCAAATTTTCACCTCTGTGAAATTAAAAGTTAAGTTTTTACCAAGTGTTAATGTGAAAGTAACTAAGATTAGTGAGAAACAAAAAACAAAGTCACATTAGCTTTGTAGGAAACAGTTCCATCACTTTGGGATAAGATTTATTATCTATTATTATTTAACTAAAATATGTGAGTTCTGCTTTGTTAATAGCTTGAATTTTACTTTTGACTTAAAAAAAGTTTTCATTAAATTTTGAAACGGTCTGGCTCCTGCCTACCTGGCACATCTTCTGCACAAATCTCTCGGATCCTCTGACCGGTCATTTCTTGTTGTGAAGACTGAAGCACCCACGGGACGAGCGTTTCCTGTTGTGGTTACAAATAATGGAATGAATTGCCTCTCTATATTAAGCTGGCTCCTACACTTGAGATTTTAAAATCCCTTTTGAAAACAAACATGTTCTCCACAGGATTAGTACCAGAGTTAGCTTCTACTCAGTTTTTTGACACTTAATAATCTTTTTTTTTTTCAGACTTTTTTTAGTTTTATTTATTCTAAAATTGCTCTAAAAATAAACTTGAATTGGACTGGATGCGCTGGCTCTTCTGTTGGACTCTTCTTTTCTCGGCTGTGATCTGTGCACAGCTTGACATTTGAGTCCATCATTCTCATGTTGATGTTTAGCGATGTTGTTGGATCTTGGGTATTTCATAAACAGTAGAGTGTGTCACATGTGGCTCAGCAGAGCATTGCTCATTAGTTTTATGTTTCAATTGACTAAAGGGAAAGGATCACAGACACAGGGACCTAATTTATTTTCCTTTGCAGAATTTCATGAGTAATTAAATCAACCTCAAACTGTTGAAACGTTTTCCTTCAGTTGTAAATCTGCTCCCTCGGCTTCTTTTCTCTTCGCTGGCAAGACGTTTCACTTCTGCCAAGCTCATCAGCAGGCTTCCAGGAGGATTGGGATCTACCTGAAGGACCTGGCAGCCGTTGATTTCCCCTGCGTCTGTTTCCT